AACCCTCCCGTTCAAGTGCTAACTACGGGATGAGCGAGAGCATGGCTGTTAGCAATGTGAGAGCGGCCAACGGAGAGCCAGCCCTGCACCCTTATCTTCGGACCTTCTCCACCTACTTCCATAACTTTGTAGAGCAGTGCCTCCAGCGGAACCCCAATTTCAGGTAAAGCCAGATGAAGGCTGCTCTTCACAGGCCTGCACTACTCTAGGGCTGATTAAACCGTGACAGCCAGCAGAGGTTGTTGGAGGTTTTCTTTCCAAAGGCAGAGTGGAGTGAGGATCTGCTCCATCCAGTGAGAAGAGCAGTCCAAGTAGGTAAAACAGGAGCAGTGTTAATGCTTTGAATGCTTTCTGTAAGAGAGCCTGAAGAATTACTTTGCAGCTGCCTTTGGGGGTAGAGCAGTGCTACATGTCAGGAGAATAAACGGAACAACTTGAATTTCTGCTCCCTGTGAGACTGTGTTTACCCAGTGTCCACCACTGCAAATGTATGCTGTTCAGCCAGCAGAGAATAACATTGAGAAGTGATCAAGAACTGTATTCTCCTCTGTAGTGAGTGTGTAAGGTCATCTTGAGCCATCTTCTCTAGCGTACCACGCTGCTCAGAAACTCTCCTTTGGCCAAATGGTGGGGTGTGCAAGTAGGTAGCTTGCACAGGCTGAACTGCTTGCTTAAAACATCATGTGAACATACCCAGTGCTGCTGGTTACAAACGGGAGATCTCCTGCAGCTGAGACATCAGATGCAGGAAGGACTCTGGTCCTTTCTTTCTTCCACTGACTTTAAACACTGATGTGTTTTCTTGTGTGCTTACTTTATTCTAACTCCCTTCTACAGGCCAAGCGCCGGCACTCTGCTTAATCATCCCTTTTTCAAGCAGGTAAGGAGCTCATTTAATCTGCAAAGAACAGTGGCTTTGCTGTAGTTGTTGTCTTGCTGTGCCACAGAACCCGAGGGTGGGAATGCCGAGTCGCTGCATCTTCTGTGATCTGAAGGGATTGAGTTAGTTGGTGACTAATTGTAGCGCAGCTTGGTGATCCTCACGTTGTCTTTGGAGGTGGATGGGCTGTTCTCAAAGCATCCCTTCCTTCTCTAAACAGAGGATCTAGATCTGCCTGTCCTGTATGCCAGAAGTTTTTCACCCCCAGAGTACTGAGTACCGGGGCAAGGCGGTCCTGACCTGGTCCTGACTGAGACCACACTGAGGTGACCTGTGCGTTGCTGACAGCTGCGTGGCAGGCTGGTGAGCTCCAGCCCTGGCACGGGAAGAGGCAGAGGCTCTCCTGCCCCTGAAATGATTTGTCTGGCTTGCCCCGAGCTGAGGGTTAGGGTGGTGCTTCACTGAGGGGAGTGTCAGGACCGTAGCACCCACGTGCTGCTGAAAAGGCTGCGTGCAGAGCGCCGTCTCGTTGCAGGATGCAGCACGAAAGCCCTGCGCCTCTCGGTGCAGGTGGGAGGATAATACTGTGGTGTTGCTTTCTGCCTATAACCACCCGTTGTTCTGCTCCTCTGTGATTGACAGCCCTGGGGAAGCATTTCAGCAGCCAAATTCTCTCCTTTCTGTGCAGATCAAGCGCCGCGCTTCAGAAGCACTCCCTGAACTTCTGCGCCCCGTCACCCCAATCACTAATTTTGAAGGAACACGGCCGCAGGATCCCAGTGGCATTTTTGGGCTGGTGTCAAACCTGGAGCAGCTGGATGTGGATGACTGGGAGTTCTAGACAAACAGGGACAATACCTGGTTCTGGAGGAGCTTTCTGGACATTGTAATTTATTGGTCCTGTTCATAAAAGGTGATGAATGTTACGCATAGAAGAGTTTACAGGTCCTTGGGAAGGAACTTCAACTGCCTGTTTACTTAAAGTAGCCTGGAAACAAATGGACAGACCTGAGCTGGAAAAGGATCAAGCCCAAGGGACTGTGGACTATTCCAGGTGCTGCAGTGCCCAGCGCCCCAGCTTGTGCAGCTGAGCACTGGTAGATCACTCGAGTGGGTTGAGCAAGTCTGTTCAGTCTCTATTTATGTTTTTTCTAAAAATCACTGGCTTCCTCATATCTATCACAGTTGAAGGCTGCATGTCCCTACCCTCTCTGGTTCTTTCTCTTCTAAGGGTGCCTTAGAGTTAAGGGGAGGCAGGCAGCTTAGTTTTGGGCATTCTCTTGGAGCTAGTCAGGTTACTGTTACAGCGCTGTCACAGGGTAAGTTTTGATGGTGGGGGAAAAAGGGATTATGTTCTTAAATTTAGTCACTGCTTTATGATGGAAAATGGGAGATTTAAGACAACCCGATTCCATTCCAGGCACACTCGCTGCATCGGGCATTCCTCAGCAGCACTGGATTCTCATCTTCCAGCTCTGGAGAGAGCTTTTGAAGAGACTCCTTTCACTTGATGCTGAGCACTCTGAACCCAGGTCAGGGCATTCCAGCCTCCTCCCATGGCTGCCGGGATCACCAAAGCCAGGGTGTACGCCTGCGCCATGCACCAGCTTTTTTATCCCCCACAGCCCATCCAGTTGAGCCTCCCGTTAGCTGGGTGGTTTCACAGCATGTCACACTCACACCAGCGTGTTCTCAGTGACTTACCCTGGCACAGAGGAAAAGTAAGGTGACTTTCATGCTCAATCCTCTTGCTCCTGACTCCTCTATGAACACCATGTACAGAACTGATGGTAAGCCTTCCCTTGCCATTGCTGTTCTGCCTTCCCTGACTGAGTGACAGGCAAAAGCTTGCTTCTCCCATAGTTTCCCGTGATTCCTGGCTGTGTGACTCTGCCCTGCTGCCGTGGCAGCTCTCCCCAGTTCCGTGGCATTTGTTTTTTGGAGGTGTATTTAAGGCTTTTAGTTTGACCCCTTCCAAGGACTGTGGGTGCTGGACATCTTTCTACACTTTAATGAAGCACTGAGAATCCAGTCCCGTCGGTGTGGTTGATGGGAGTAGTGGTGCTGGCAAGAGGTCCTTGTGTTTATAAACTGTACTTGAACCCAGATAAAGTTTGTTACTCTAGTTTTTTGCCAAAACAAATAAAATATTTCTGAAGTTGTTTTAAGTCTGCTGCAGGATGACGGAGTGGATGACAAGTGATGACACAGGCTGGCTGGGCATGCTTGCTCTCGTTCCCGACTCAAAAGGCTGCTGCTCGCACCCCAGCTGGCAGGGGCTGGAGCCATTAGGGCATCCCCCGATGGAGGCAGTTGCTGTTGAACAGCTCCCCACAGCAGCTTGCAGCGCTGTTTGGTGCTACTGCCTTCGTGTTTCAAAAACCTTTCTTTTGACTAAAGCAAGAAACTGCCAACAACTGCTCTTGCTCTTTTCTGAAAGTTTCAGTAGAACGCAATTGTTCTCCCAGAGCCAGGGGTGTTTGTTTGCAAGGGCAGGCTACAACAGCCAGGACAGGCCCACTGCTGCTTCCTCTCTAGGATCAGGTTTGGCTCCTGATTTAATTTTATTGTAATAAGCAGATCTTAATTTCCCAGCTTGTTGTGAAGCCTGCAGCTTGTGAAAAATCCTTATCCCTCTCTCACAAGCCTGGAGAGGGACTGAATGGCTGGCAGTTAAGAGCAAGCAGCAGCACAATACCACTCCCGGCACTCACTGGGACTGAGTCACTGACCCGCTGCAGCTGTTGCCTTTGGAGGAGGTGGGTTTCCTCACAGAAGAGGGATCATTCAATAGGTGTTGCTCACTGCAGTTCTAAACCTCTCTTGAATTCTAGGAACCACGAGGGAGGCAAAAAACGCACAAGTGAATATGCAGAGCTGTAATAAATCAGAGATAACTGCAGCACTCCAGCCTGCTTTCCCCTGAGTTAGCATGTTTAGGGTGAAGGGTGACCTTAACACCAGCTAATTATCCCATCCCTTTCCATGCTTTCAGCTCGCTACATGCTCGAAGTTAATTCAGTCCATGATCTTTGAGTTTTATGCTTACACAGCAGCAGGAAGCAAGCAGGATCAGTGCAAAGTTAGGAATGGAACAGCAGCACCTTGGTCAAAAAAAAACCAGCTTAGGAGGTATCACCACAGCCAAAACCTCGTTGCCCAGGTGTGCTGCTGCCTCAGAGGCAGCTGTTGGGCTCCTGCTGGCAGCAGACAGCTCTGCTCAGCCACAGCTCTCGAGTCTGACCTTACCTGTTCTGCCTTGTGCCTTCCCAGGGCAGCAAACAAGGAGCCTGGCACAGGCAGGACACTTTTAGTAGCTGCTGGAGGGACACACAAGCACTGGCTACAGCTGCTGGCCCCAAGGCAACTGCTGCGAGCTTTTTTTTTTTCCCCCCCATGAAAGCTTTATTCAGCTAGATACAAAACAGGGTGCTCTGCTATTGCGGATCCTCTCCCTGGTCTGAATGCTGCTGCTCTTCCTCCTCTTCCTCCCCTTTGTGTTTTTCCAATTTTGCCATGAGCTCTGAAAAACAGCAAGAGGCAGGATGAGCCTGCGGGTGCAGGGGCTGTCCCACACCACAGCCAGGTGCCCGCTCCTCTACACACCCACCTCCACAAGAACCAGGGCAGCTCCCAAACAAATCCCTTGCCTACACAGCGGCTCAGCCAGGAGCCACCGTTTGCTGAGTCCAGGGAATCAGATATCACAGCCCCAGAGCCCAACGGTGCGTCACCGACCTGCCAACGAGAGCATCAGACAAGCTGCTGCCCCCGCGCTGTGGCGCAGCCCCGCCACCCTCACCAGGGGTCACGCTCCCCGAGTTCCCCAGCTGGGCAAGCCCAAACGCTCATTTTGCACCTACGGAGCCACCCAGGCCATGATTTAGCATCTCCTGGCACTGAAGGATGCTCTGCCAGTAGCTGAGCTCTAGCTTGGGGCCAGGCCCAACACCAGAAGATCCTTCAGGAACTGCTGCCTTTGCTGCTCCAGAGGCTCCCCCTGAAGCCCGCTCTCCCACCGCTGCCCGGTACCTTTTGCAGGGTTGAAGACTCCGTTGGTTTGCTTGTCACAGACGTAGCAGCGCTGGGACTTGCGATAGTGTTGGAGGGCACAGCTCTCGCAGAAGTAGTGCCTACACCTGTACGGAGACACAGATGCCACCGCAAGTCACCAGATGCAATCACTGTGTCCAGGAGTTAGAAGTTACTGACTCCTGGTCTCCGAGGGATGCAAAAGCGAGCTGCATGCAGTTTCCCCTGCATCACTGTCCTCAGGGAAGGTGTTTCAGCATTGCTTCACTGATGGGGAGTGGTGGCACAGAGCCAGGTACCCAGCAAGACAGCCAGCAGCGTGGGAGAAGGCTGGCATTGTGTGATGTCCACGCTGCCCCGCCGCCTACTCCTCATCCTTGCCAAGCCTTTGGCTTCCCCACCCCTCTGCTCATGCAAGGCAGTGTGCCGTCCGGTGTCCAGGAGGAATGAAGGCATGAAAACAAAATCTCAAGGTTAAGGGGAAAGATGATGTAATCTGTGGACATCAAAAAGGTGCTTGGACGACAAAGGCTAGAGATCTCTTCCAAGGAGATGCTCCAGAGGCGGTTATGAGGCTCCCTGGTAATCAGAGGATTTCCCCACCCACCAGAAAGCCACAGCAGACAATAAGCAGGTTCCACCCCCCCAGCCTGTGGGCAGTGTTTGCATTTGCCTCGACAGCGAATGGCTAGTGAACGGCTAGTGAACTGGATCGACAGCAGACACTTGGCTCCTCGTGCCAAAACAGCCACTTACTTGGTGACCACGGGGTTCTTGAAGGAACTTCTGCAGATGAAGCATTTGAAAGGCATATCCTCCTCATCACTGCTCACTTCATAGTTTTCCTCATCTGCAGAAAAGAAAATTAACCAGACTGGAGCAAGAGCAGAGGCAGCCAGAGCAGCCCCTGTGTGGGGCATGAGATATTAAATATGAAGAGAGCACAGCAGGTGGGATTAAATCTCCGCTGGAAACAATAGAGCTCTGGCATCTGGGTGTTGCTGATGTCAGTAACACGTGTGGGACTGAGATATAATTACGTCTAATGAGCCAGCGTGCTTGTTGCTCATCTCACAAGAGCAAATTCTCTTCTAACCTCGCCCACTCACTGCTATAACGAGACACATCCTCCAGCCCCCTCCTATTTCTTTGATTTTCTTCCAAACCAGCTGCCACCGAACTCTTTGGCGCCAACTGAACACAGAACATCCTCTTCCCCCAGCTGCACAGCGGTTCACGAGCAACACTCACGAGCCTTGGGCCACAGCGACAGACACTGTGAGTGAGAAGTAATGAGGTGAGGCAGCAGGCAGGTATCCCACCTCCCGGGCACCTGAGGGGCAGGAGATGGTCACACCTCCCCAGCTCCACACAGCCCACTGCTGGGACCCTTTTAGAGAGCCAGAGGAAATAATTCTCTCTGGTGGCAGTTAGTCGATATCTGAAAGCAGCCGATTTGCTCAGCACTGTCCGTGGGTACTGGCCCTAAGGTTACCCTGCAGCAGGGCGTTCCCTGGCTTTGGAATCACGAATCCTTTCTGTCTGATATTAATTCAACCCACGGCCCATGCGGTTTGAGGCAGCAAAGGCCCCCTTTCACTCTTAGTGATCCAACATCCCGAAGTCACGTTCACCTTAGGGTGTGACAAAGGTAGGACCCGGTAGCCGCATCCACCGTTAGCTTAGGGAGAAGGACAGCGAAGGGGTGGTGCCGTACCATTGACTCCGTACCGGCCTTCATCCAGCTCCCGTTCGATCTGCCAGCCGTGTTTGTAGTCCGAGCGGTCATGGAGGAATTTGCAGCTGTCTGAGCAGCACAGAGAGAAGAGGAATTAACAGCTAGGCTGTGCGGGGTCGGGGGTTAACAGGACACCTCAGTCAGGGGCAGCTGGAGCTTTGCCCAGCAGAGGGTGAAACCCGATTGCTTCCCCGCCTGCCTGCGCCCCAGGGCAGTGCCAGGCTCCTGGAGCAGGCACAGGAGCCCTCTCAGGGTTGACAGGCCATGAGGATCGTGCTCTGTGGGCCACAGCGACAGTTCCAGCGTTTACACTCATGGGAAGTGGGATAAGGAACGGGAAATCCCATCCCTCACATGGCCTCAGCAGCCACACGTGGGAGTGTGGGTCACTGGAACAGCCCAGGGGTCCCTCCCAGGGCTCACAACCACTGATCAGAGGCCACCAGCTTTCAGAAGGGCCGACACAAATGACGAGAACGACACATAAAACACCTTTGCAAGAGCATCACACACCAGCTCTGCAAACAAGCGCCTGTAAACCAGTAAGCGCACATCTCGGTGCCACAAACACCAGATCCCAAGCTGGACTGGATCCCTTGGCCGGTCTGGCCCAAGGTGAGATCCACTCACCTCCAAAGCCGCAGAACCCGGTTTCTTTGTAGTCCTTGCAGATGTCGGGCTGGTAGTCCCAGCGCACCGTGGCCCGCAAGTGCTCCGGAGCACGGATGGGTCCTTTTCTGAAAGGGTGGGAGAAGGCTCAGGCCGGCTGCGCAGCTGCAGTGGAGAAGGCCCCTGGGGGCCTGGTCAGAACCAGACACCGGACTCGTTAGACAGAAAGAAGCTGGCAGTAACAGCAAAGTTCAAGCCCCAGACAGGTGCTTTTGGGGATGGTGCCTGAGCTCCTCTGTGGTCCCAGTCCCCCAAGGCTCATCCCAACCCACCTGACCATTCCTGAAGAGGCATTTCCCATCGACGTGTCCTTGGGCTTCACGTACTTCTGGTAGTTGTTAATACCACGGTAAATTTTATCATCTTCCTTTCCTCTTAGCTCCTAGGAAAACAAAAAGAAAGGTGAATAAGGATGAGGAAAGCTTCAGGACACAGATTAGCTTTCACCACTCTGACACCAGTCTCCCTTCCCAGCCCTGCCTTCCTTAATACCAAGACTCCAATAAAGGCTGAAAATTCCCCTATTTGCAAGGGTCACACATTCGGCTTCTCAAATTTCCAGAGAGAAGCAGACTCAAATTCTTCTTGGTGTGCAGAAGGGGATGAGTAAAGCACAGGTACTCCTGCTGTAGAGCACTAACTCTTACAGAGCAAGGCTGACCCACCTCCTGGATCTTCTGGCTGCGCTCAAAGATGGCCTGGGCATCTTTCTCCTTCTCCGTGTCCAGTTCATACACTGCTGTGGCTCCCATGTCTTCGGGGCCAACAGGTTTCTGAAAAGCAAGAAGAACTTGTGACAACAGTGAAGAGAAAACCTGTACAAGACAAGAGAGCTCCCTGGCTACCTGAAGGATTCATCACAGAGTAAGAACTGGACGTGGCCTGCTTTACAGTTTCTACAGCCCTTTAGCACCTGCAAGGGAAAATCCCCCATGGGCCAGATCCAGCCCCGTGCTTGCAGAGGCTGGAGTGCTAACTACCCGTTGCTCCCACGTTTTAGCCCGCAGAGTCAGGAAATACTTGTCCTTTCTTTATTCCTTCACACTCAGCCTCAGCTTAGCTGGAAGCTGAACTCAGGTCTCCCATGTCCAACACTTCAGTCATGAGACCATCCAACCCACACGCAGGATGTTACCTCTGAACTCCTAACCCAGCTGTGGGTGGCTTACATCCAGCTTTAATACAGTGATCTGGTTTAGATTTCTCTTTAATGGACTGAACAGATACCTATTCCTAGGTTTTATCACATCTCCAGGAACAGCTGCAGGGAAACGGAAGACTAATTACAGCCAGCCTCAATTAAAACCAAATCCAGCTTCAGTGCCAAAAGCTTCTGGAGCCCCAAAGCTGTCATCTCCTCCAGTTCCCTCCCCATGCCCCTACAGCAAGGAGGGCTAACAACACACTGCCCCCCTTAGCAGCAGTCACAGCAGTGAATAATTACAGCACGAGGTTATAGTCATATTAATCTCTACGTGATAAGGAGACCTCGGTCTGATCCTGCAGCTTTGCCTGGGGACAGCTGGGCATTATCTCCACTTTACACAGAGGCACAATAAGGAAATCGGTCTGAAGAGGAACATGTGATGATACCTGGTTTTAATCCCACTTATATTCTGCCCAGGATCACACTAATGGGCAAAACTTCACTGGATCAAGAGGAAAGTTAAGAGAAAAATCTCCTGGGAAGAGCAATTTGAGCTGTGCCCAGACCTTCACAGCTGATTTCTCCTCACTCCAGATGTTAACAGGACACCCCGCCCACCAACCCCGAGAAAACAATGACCTCTCTCTGTAGCTCCTACTCCACCACTTGTCACAAGAATAAAGACGGGAACACCTCCTAGGTCATCTTGAATTCTTTGTGAAGGAAGATGGGTCTAAAACTGAGAACATGAAGCCAACGGCAGGACAAACCCGATTCAAATGCTCCCTCTCCTGAAAATTTTGTGCGATGTTGGGCAAGTCCAGTGCGATCTTGGGGCTTTAATTCCCACCTCTAAGAGGAAACGGCCAACCTCACTGGCCTCCTGAGGAGGCAGGGGGTATCGGGAGAATAAACCCAGCACAAGGTGCTTGTCTATTAAGAGGAAAGGGACAGGGAGGTGCATCTATAGATAAAAAAGAAGGAATGGCTGATCCCACATTCACAGAAGCAAATTCTCTCTATCAAGTGTGGGGTCTGCCAGTCCCACCTGACCTCACACCCCAGAACCACATTCCTGCCCAGTCCTTACCGCCGACCTTGTCGATTTGTAAGTGACTCCGATCTCCTTTGACGGATCCTCATCATCACTGCTGCTCGGTGCGTACGCTGTCCTCTCCTTCGTGCATCGCCTGGTCTGAGGGGCAAGAAGGCAACAGGGGTGAAGGACGGAAGGCTCCAACCCTGTGTCTGGCCTGAGCTTGGCAGGCCACTGCAGTGGCACCTCGGGTGGA